TAAACCCTAACCTCTAAACAATAAATCCTAAACCCTAAACTCTAAACCCTAACCTCTAAACAATAAACCCTAAATCCTAAACTCTAAACCCTAAACTCTAAACAATAAACCCTCAACCCTAAACTCTAAACCCTAACCTCTAAACAATAAATCCTAAACCCTGAACTCTAAACCCTAAACTCTAAACAATGAACCCTAAACCCTAAACTCTATACCCTAAACTCCAAACAATAAACCCTAAACCCTAAACTCTAAACCCTAAACTCTAAACCATAAACCCTAAATCCTAAACCCAAGCCTGCAGATCTGAGTTGGCCCTCTGCTCCAACCGAGGGAAGAGGCACTGGGTCCGTGGCTTCTCCATGTGCGACCTGAGCATGAATTATGGAGGATGGATATGGTAGGGGAATGCAAGTCATCCCCATTACAATATGGTAGTTTCCATTTTCTTTTCCATTATCTTTGTAGCCCCTGCATATCCCTAAGTTTCCATTGCTTTTTACCATTAGCCCTATATATTGCCACAATTACAGACAAAGACTGGCAAGAATGCAGCATCTCCACCCTTGGGCTGCTGCAGCACTAAATCACTAAGTGGCTCGTGTCATTTTGCACAAGACATAGCAAATGCTTCTGCGCATTAAAATCTCACCTGTGGCTATCCGTGCGAATGGATGCGTGGCTGATTTGGTGACTCTAGCTTATTTTGCTGATTGGCTGGAGTTCGCATGCCCTGTCTCCATGAACACATGAACAGCCCCGCTTGATCCCAGATACTGCAGAATGTCAATGTAAAGTCAACATAACCACTGCCGTCTGCAGCGGGCTTCTCTCTGGCACCTGAACTTAGCAGCTATCATCAAGCCCCCATGAACCCACGTTGCTAGTGAGAAAGCTCCGGATGCAAAGATCCCAATAAAGTTGACGTGAACGCAAGCTCTTGTGCCAGTGCTTGGCTTAGCAACTTGTTTTTTAGCACTGCCGGGCGTAGCTCCAAGCTAATTGGCTGCATGCCTTTGGCATTAGCCGTCCCTGCCCTGGGCTAAGTGGTGAGTACCCGAGTACCCGATGTTCTTCGCCCGTCCACACTCTCTACAGATGATGGACCAATAAAGCCCCACTATGCTAAGTCTGGCTTGCAGCACTTAGGAGCAATCCAAGAGTCCACAACTTTCCAGACCAGAGCTGCTAGAGCTCTCCAGACCAGAGCTGCCACCCTCTTGCACAACGTCATACTGAACTTGACGCAAAACGGAACGTCCCGATGGCTGCTTTTGGGTACCGCGTGCATTTGGGGAAAAAAGCCAGGTGACTTGCACTACCTGGACGACCAGAACCAATAGGAAAATCAGGAGAAGCGTTGGAGAGTAGCTCTGCATGAAACACGTAAGTGAGGCCACTACCCAGCTGATGCACATGGTACAGTGTCCGTAGGCCAGGCAGCAGCACAGAATTCCAAGCAAAAGCTGGACCGGACCGTCACCATAAGTCAGAACGCGTTTGAGCATCCGAAGCAGGATTGGAAAGACCACCGGATACGAAATGAGCAATGTAAGGAGCCAGAAACACCCTTGGGTGAACATGTACTGAGCTGTAGACCGATAGCCTTGCATCTGGGCGGATTCGGCACAGGGTTCGTTGTCACAACCCAACACACTGACGGTTGAGTACAAAGTCATTGGAAGGGAGGCCGTAAGACAGAGGCGCCAAGGCAGGTAGAGCTCATCGCCAATCTGCGCCATCATGGATTCCCGCAGGGTTGCTCTGACATAGGCCTCGGTTAAGCAAACGTCTATAAACGTCTGAGGGACGCAACAATCAATAGATAAATATGTGTATATATATATATACACTTATACGCATACATATGGGGTTTACCAAAATATGGGGACCCAATATAAACCCCAAAACACATTGATCCTTGTCATCGCGACCCCCCCAACAAGGTATCCCTAATTTTGCAAAACCCAAATATATATATATATAGGGAAAGCGCAAAGAGCCGAGCCACGTTGAAGCGGTCCAAGGGATCGCCATGAAGGTCCTGCCCGGGAAGCGCCTGCGGGCGCACATGCGACCAGTTTGCGGGCAGGGCTATCCCTGCATGCCATAAATCACAAACGGGGGGGGGGGGAATATAACATAATGTGATATAAAGAATATGATAGAACATAGTATAATACATGGTGGAGTATAGTAGGGTATGGTATAGTTAAGAGAGTATAGTATAATGGGGTATAACATCCTTCCAACCCTCTCTGCATGGGTCGGAACTCAGGCTTCCTGACCCTGGATCCCACATCCAGAACTCTTTCTAAACTTCGGGGAGTTGCCAAGAACACACATGAGCCATAATCTAAACTCCTAGTATCCCTATGAATAGCCCCTATAGTAGTCTCCTGTATAACCCCCTTTTAAGGAGTTTAGACTATAGTATACATGATCCCAGCTTACGTCCAATGATCCTGTTCAAACACTGGCCCTGTCTACATTGCGGGGCAGCACCAGAGGATAAGGACAAATACTACTACAGTCTAAAGGTTCTATAGGGGACTACTATAGGGGCTATTAATAGGGATACTAGGAGTTGGACGTTTTTTGGCAGAATCGTGCTGCAAGTTTAAATGCAGCTTAATTGGAACGGGTGGACTTTGATGCCAGAAGGCTGTGCCAGTGGTGAATGCAGTAGGTTTGTCATCCTCACGTCCCACATCCCCCACTCAGCTTCTGATGATCTCTAGAACCACAGGTCTTCTAAGTTCGCCCAGCACCAGGTGAACTCAGCAACACGTCGCTTGATTGCAGCTGATTTTGTTTGCATCCAAGCTGTGGGGCAGTTTAGCATACGGGGACATCGCAAGAATATGACTATGGCACGATGTATGGCCATCACACGCAACTGAAGTTGAAAGCATTTAGCATCTCTGAGGCGCAGTGTATGGAACCCTTACCTTCCAGATCAGGAAACTTGGGGCTTGATGTCGAAGCCTGCCGAGGCCACTCATCCCTCCTACCTGCCGAGGCCCCCTCCTCCCTCCTATCCTTTGTGCGTGGTTTGGGTCAGCGGGCCTTGCCTCTGCATCATCCAAAGTACCCCTCTGCGTGTCAGCTGCCAAAGGGCTATTACTGTCACGAAAGAGTTCCCGTACGTGGTGCTCAACCGCATCTCGATCAGCGGGATCAGTACAAGCAGCAGCTGTGACATCAAACTCTGCCATCTGCTGCAGCAACACTTCATGGTTTCGCAGCTTCATTCGGAATGAAAACAGTGCTGGTATCGCTCCGGGCAAGTAGCTCACTCCTCCTGCAATCATGGCAAGAAGAAAGTTGGCCACGAACGTTAGCAGGATTTCATTGTCGCCCAGAAGAGGCTCCACGTACGTAATAATTTGAGCTGCCCATGCAGCACTCCATGCCGGAAACACATGCTCACTGAGTTCAAATAAGGTCGCACTCAAGAGGTCCAACAGGATGGTGTTGACCAACCATGGGGCCAACCATGCCGGCAGGAAGACTACCTGATCCAAGAAAGCATGGAAAGGCTGATCTCTAGTGTGAACTCCATACTGAGAGACAAAAGAACAGCGTTTCTAAAGCACCCCAGCAGCATTCTCGGCACCACCGTGCCGGGCAAATGCAGCTAACTCTAAGTTGCACCACAGCCTGGAGGGATGAGAGGCGAGTCAGGCCCACAAGTCGGGAACAAGAGGGGGCCGACTCAGAAACAGGCAAAGGGGCTAATGTGGGGATGAGCCAAGGACAGGAAGGGGGCGAGTCGAGAATGAACAGGGGGCGAGTCAGGAACAGCAAGAATTTTAATCGGAGGCTTCTAGTGTAGGCAACGCCGCTTGTCCTCAGTATGTCTGTGCGGGGTTGAGGGTTTGGGGGGCCTAGGGAACCCTAGACCCGAAACCCTAAATCCCTAAACCCCCCAAACTCTAAAACCCTAATTAAATCCCTAAACCGCCTTTGTTTGTTCTGTATTGTTCCCCGACTCTTCTATTTGACTCGCCCCCTATCCGTTCCTGACTGAGACCCTACTTGACCCTGCCCTGTTCTCAACTAATCTGTTCCTGACTCAGGGCCCTTGCTGCTGGCTCGGCCAACATCCCAGCCTGGAGGACCAGCTTTCATCCCATATGATGAGCCTGTTCAGAACACTGCAGCGAGAAAAGCAAAGTTGACAGCTACAGCTACACAGCTACATTCCACCTACACCAAGAAGGAGGCTGCGCCGACAGCTACAATTGGCCACAGTACGTATTGGTTGCCGTTTCAAGGAAGCATCCAACAACCGACGGAAAGAGCAGCCAAGGAGCATGCGTCTTGAATGCGCGACAAACAGCGGAAGGGCTGCAATCTGCTGAGACTTCAGCTCCAAGTCAGTCTGATGTACACAAAGCCTGTCCAACCAGAGGGACGGGGAGCACCTCCCGACGGACAGGTGCTGCCCGAAAAAGAAAACCTGGGTCAACTGCAAGAGCATCCAGAGACCCTTGTGCATGTGTGAAGAAACACCATGGACAATTCCATTTGCTCCCAGTCTTTAGCATTATTTCGCTATTCCTTAGTCGGGACCCCTCACCCGAGTGCAGCCCAGAATCCAAGAAAAAGATGCCCATGGGTAGGTAAACTAAGCAGGGCAAGGCAAGGTAGCTGCCGCCAAGGACCGTAACACCTGTGCTGTTCTAGGAGTTTCTCAGAGCAAGATGCTTTTGGGTAATTACCCAAGGGGTATGTCGGGGGTATCTTCTGAAGAAATTATGCAGGCCCCCAAACAAGATTCTTGATAAACTCGACCGGAGCCCCCATGAAAACACACCCTGGTCTGGCGCAGTACCCAATACGCTAAAAACAAGCCCATATGATTGGGCGGGCGGGGATCTGGTGTTGGAAGCCAGCCCATCACTGACGATAATATGGGACTTTGCGAGCCAGGTTTGGGGGTTGCCCAAAATTAGGGATACCTTTTGGGGGTCCCAATAATGAGGATTGTAGCATTTTGGGGTCTATATTGGGGTCCCCTTATTTTGAGAAACCGCCATTTGGCAACAAGCCATGCACGTAACAATGAGGAGATTCCAGAGATGGGGGATTCAAGAGTTTGGGGTTCTCGTTAAAGGCGGTCCCGTAATCAGGATAATTGTAAGCCATTGTAAGCTAGGGTCTATATTGGGGTCTCCCTATTTATGAAAACTACCAGATGTTTTTCCATAGACGTTCCTTGGAAGGTGATCTCTGTGTAAAGTGGCAGTGGACAGCAAGCAGTAGCCTTCAACAGCGACTTGGACCAACAAACCTGTGTACCAGCAAGGTGTCGGATAGCTCACGTGCGACTGGGATCTTCTTCGAAAACTAGAAGGCAATCCGACCATCCAGACATCGCACTACTCATGGCAAACGTTGGCAATATGCAAAAACCGAGAGGTTCCACCATGAGCCACATTCCCACACCCGACACTACCGTTTCCTCAGGAAGGTACCCCAAACATGCCTACCAAGAGCAAAACGGCTCTCCACACTTCAAAGTTATCTTGCTTTCTCATCTAGAGGGTGTGAAGAACCGACCAGAAAGGCGCCCCACATCAACATTCCCTCCAGATCCACAGAATCCAAGATGTGAAAGGGAGGGCTGCGGACCACAGGATCTATTGTCAAGATCATCCAAGGCACCGCCCCCTCCAAGGAGGGATCCTGCCACAAGTAACCAGGCAGCGAAGCAGCATGCTACCGCCATTTCCAAGTTGAAATACCTGACTCGGCCAGGAGTCTTAACAGTAGCTTCCATTTTCTTTTCCATTATCCCTATACAATCCCAATATGTACCCTGTTATCATTTTGTAGCTTCCATATTCTTTTCTATTATCTATGACCAGAAAACATGCTGGATGTCAGGAGCCCGTGGGCTGAAAACAAAGGCTTGCATGACTTGCCGAGCAACAAGCAGAGGGCTAGAAACTTCGTGTACCTTCCAGCCTTTCAGGGAAGCATGCACTAGGCCCCTCTCTGAGCAAAAAAACTTTGAAACGGCTGACCCACCCCCCAACCCAAAGCTATTGGCAAATCTGCGTCTCAACATCATAGACTGGTCTTCTAAGCAATGCTGCGGAAAGGGGCGGCCTTCCAAGAGTGACTGATGAAAAAGTTCACCTCACCTGTCTCTGAAGATTCGTTGAAGAGCTTATTGCCCACTTGCCGCAGCTGCTCTCTCCTGAGTTCTCTATGAACCAAAACCCTGCATGCTTCAGCATCCCACATCAGGAATTGGCTCCATTGCCCAACTACCAAATATCGGGAAAGACTTTCTCAAAAACGCCCGCTCTCGTTGGAAACCGGATGTGCGGACTTCCAGCTGCTTCTAAAAGCGAAGGCAAGTTCGGGTTGAAGATTTTTCCGGCACCTGAAACGATAGGGCGAGCTGAAGGATCTGAGGCTTCATGCCTGGGTGTTTTGCAAACATACAACACAAGCTTACAGGCCCAGACGCCTGCCAACACCTGCAGCGGCGTGACGCTGCGGAAGTGCCCAGCCTTTTGTACTTCCTCAAATGAGTCTTGGCGCCGCAGCCGTGCCATCGCGGGCTAGTTCTCTCCAACATAGGACACGTCTGCTTAAAAAAATCAAGCTGTTCAAGTACATTCAAGCATTATGATCTGCAACTTGAGGTGCAAGCTTCCCAAGCTGTTTTCGGGAGTAAACGGCAGGCGCTTTGCACGCAAGCATGCTGCGCCGAGCTTGTAACATCTGTTTGTTTGACGGCTTGTCACTTCCAAACCAAGACCCAAGCCCCGCTTACTATTATTAATAATAATAGTAATAATAATATTAATATTATTCATATTAATATTATTAATAATCATATTAATATTATTATTATTAATATTAATCTGGAAACTTTGTGGCAGCAGAATGCGCTCATCGTGGCTCGACGGTCCAGCTTCCAGTTTTTATCTTCCAGGCTTCAAACCAAGCAGACCGTCCATAAGGGTCAACGATTGCCTGCCCTTCATAGAATGGAACAGTCTCCAACTTTCATTATGTAGTAGCTTCCATTCTCTTTTCCATTATCCCTATATGAAAAACCCCAAATAACCGCAATAGTTGGGGGATAATCGGTCATAGCAAGTGCGTTGACCAGGAGCCGTCGGCATGTCGGATGGGCTCAGTTGCTCAGTGATGCACAACAACTTCCTGTTTTTGTTGGTGCGTAGCTAAACATCCCCGCCTAAGGTCGGTTCTATTTGCAGAGAGCCACCTCGTGGCCACAGCCTATGTTTGGACTGCAGACGGACGGAAAACGGCGCTCTCGCATAGCAGATTCTCACACCAGTGCTTCAAAATGCTTCAAGGGAGCAGTGTGAGCAAATTTTTTGGAGCATGCGCAGCCTGACATGGTCAAAGTGCAGACTCAGCAGGTTGGAGCAGTGCATACTGGGCAAGGCCCCTTCAGCAAGGAAACAGCTCATTCTACATGAAACGGTTCAGCCTTTAGTAAAGTCCTTCAAAGAGGAAAGCATGAGTAATATTCGATGCCTGGCGTAAGGAGCCTCGCCCAGGTGCGGCCGCGAGGGCACGGGGGATCGTTAACATGATTAACATGCCGAGCACAGGCGCGCCCTCCACTCAGCTGAAGTAGTCCTGGCACAGGGGCGCTGCACAATGTGCTGAGCAGCTTGCGCAGGCTCAGCGCGCAAACGCCAGCCTTCTCCACGTTCTTTGCAAACTGCGTTCCACCTAGCCACACATGGTGCTTCCGCAGGCATGCAGCTGTAGCAGTGTGCAGTCCGGAAGTCAATGTCTGCGAAGATCTGGCACTAGCCAGGAAACACACTTGGGCTTCAAAGTCGGTACTGCTGTCTCCCTTTGAATATAGTCTTTTCCTGGGTTTTTGCCTACCACAGCCCAACTCTCAGACCTCTCCGCCAAGAGCATACAAGTTGACATGAAAGCCAAGGAGCTTTCTTTGACCTCTTCCGAGAGGGCATCCCACTCGGCCCTCAGTCCGGGTTGCTGACTAGGAGATTAATTTCATATGTGTACATAGGGTTCAGGGCTTAAGTTGCCATATGGTGAATAATGGGGTTTCCGTATTCAAGTAAATTCCTTAACAGCAACCCAGCAGTTGAGGATTCGTTTCTTGCGCATTGCGGGTCAGGGAAGTAAGTCTCAATACCCATCATGGCTTACTGCCAAAGGCCTGTATAGTACTGATAGCGATAGTAAAAAAATACTAATAGGGCCGGTAAGGTCGTAAGCACGCGGTGCCCAGCTTAGAAAGTAGCTGGCACCGTTCACAGCACACTGGTACCAAGCA